CCTCTGCTGCGCTCTGGGGAGACCTTAGAGCAGCTCCAGTGCCTAAAGGGGCTCCAGGAGACCTGGAGAGGGATTTGGACAAGGGATGGAGGGACAGGACAAGGAGAATGGCTTTAACCTGCCAGAGGGGAGACTGAGATGAGCTCTGAGGCAGAAGCTCTTCCCTGTGAGGGTGCTGAGGCGCTGGCACAGGGTGCCCAGAGGAGCTGTGGCTGCCCCATCCCTGGCAGTGTTCAAGGGCAGGTTGGACACAGGGGCTTGGAGCAACCTGCTCTAGTGGAAGGTGTCCCTGCCCGGGGCAGGGGTTGGAACTGGAGGAGCTTTAAGCTCCCTTCTCAAACCATTCCATGATTCAGTGACTTCCAGGTTTGTTCAAATCTACCTTCATTCAAAGAAGAATGACTGTGGGGGTCAGGGTCCAGCACCTCCACTGGCATTGGCATCAAGTGCCTCATGAATCACCTGGAACACAACGCCATATCCAGCATTTCTGATAGACAGCCAGTTTTGAAACCCAAATTTTGTGGGCTGGTTGGAGCCACACTGTAGCTCCAAACAGTGCCAGACACGGGGCTGCTGCCAGGGATTTCAGAGCAGACCTGTAACAGTGCTGCTGGTGCGGCTCACTCAGCTGCTGCACTGTCATAGAATCACACAATCACAGATCGGGTTGGAAAGGGCCTGAAGATCATCTAGTTCCAACCCCTTACCCCGGGCAGGGACACCTCACACTAGACCATGTCACCCAAGCCCCTGTGTCCAGCCTGGCCTTGAACACTGCCAGGGATGGGGCAGCCACAGCTTCTCTGGGCACCCTGTGCCAGCGCCTCAGCACCCTCACAGGGAAGAGCTTCTGCCTTGTATCTAACCTGAACTTCCCCTGTTTCAGTTTGAACCCATCAACCCTTGTCCTGTCGCTACAGTCCTTGATGAAGGGTCCCTCTCCAGCATCCTTTTAGCCCCCTTCAGATGCATGGCTTTGGGCTGCTCCTAGTTCTGAAGCAGGGAAGCCAGCCTGCAGCTGAAGGGTTGTGTTCACAGCGGTGTTTGTGTTTGTGACAGTGACTTTTCCTGCTGGAATAATGAGCGTTGTGCAGTGTCATTTACTGATGTATTTTTCTTTGTACAGATAAACCACTCTCTCCCAAAGCATTAAAAGGACTTGAAAGCACTCAGCTGACAAAGAATTATTACCCTGTGGTAAGTTCCAAAGTGCCGATCATCCATTTCAATAAGTAGCATATTATTAGTCTCCTGAACTGGCTTCTTCCCATAGAAATCATTGAAGCAGTTGGTAACAACTGGGGATGTGACTCTGTAGTTAAATGCAGTTGTTGCCGTTTCCTTGATTTAAGGCTGTCGAGACAATAAATGGAAGTTGCTGCAAGATGTCAAGAGGAGAGACTCAAAGTGGGCGACTGACATAATGCAGCAGAGGTGGCAGCTTTGAGATGGATGTTGGGGAGCACAATGTCTCTGTTCCACTCGTTGCCATGGGCTGCGGGGTGTTGATAAAGATGGGGAGATAATGCTGGGGCATGAAGGAAGCCAAATCAGGGCTCTGATCCATGACCGCTTTCTTGGGTTTGCCTGGAGATGTTATACCCCGAGCTGCCTGCCCTGCCTGTGCCTTGGAGAAGGGGCAGCCCCACAGCTCACAGCCTGGCTTGTTGGCTGGGCTGGGCTTTGGAGCAGGTTACAGCCTGCTGGGCTATGAACTGGGGCTTCAGAAGGCATGGAGAAACCTCCCCTACCAGCCTGAGGTCTGGCAAAGAGGGGCAGGTACCTTCCTGCAGCGTAAGGGAGTTGAGATGCCTGCATGTGAACGTCCCTGGCCCCCCGTGCTGCAGGTGGAACGTGCTCATCAGCATGTCTAAATATATTTCAAGCAAAGCAAAGCAGAAATGATACGTCCAGAGAGCTGGGAACCACCTCCTCTGTCTCCAAAGCTCATCCACACTGAGAAGCCTGAGTGCTGAGCAGCAGTGTGCAGGCAGAGGTTTGCCAGAGATGAATTGGCTGCTGAGCTGTGAACTCAGAGCTGAACTGACATTGTCTTCGTGCTTTGCCAGGGAAGGAGCAGCCTCTAACACCTCCTTTCCAACCCTCCCCCAGTTTGTCAAGTCAAATCCCCCAATTGGACTCCCAGGGCTCTCCTGAGCGTTCTGGGTTCTGCATTAACAAAGGTCATTTATGGACTTGAAATACACTTCCGTGCTTTTCCCCACTCAGAAGCTGATGTTGTGCTCCTTTGACTAGTCGCTAGCACAAGGATGTACTCAGTGCTGTGTCTCTCACCCTTAGGTGTTGCAAAACATTCTGGAAACAGAACGAGATTATGCGAAGGAACTTCAGTCACTTCTGGGAACTTACTTAAGACCCCTCCAGTCTTATGATAAGTAAGATATAAGGGCATCTGAGGTGGAGAGAACCCTGTAAAATGGACCATAGTTCATTACTTTGCTGCTCATGAATGTTTAGGGCCTGTTGCTGCTTTTGTAAAGTCTCACAGCTTCTCTGTGAACCAGAAAAGCCCCCACATTGCAGTTTCTGCTCCTCCCTGCTCCTCAGAGCTCGTGCAGGCATCGGGCTGTGTTAGAGATGGGCATTTCCTCCTGTTAAACCCAGCATGTGTGTTCCCAGTGGTACACCCTGCATGGCTTCTCCCCTTGTCATCTGCCTCCTTGTGACTTCTCAGCCCCAGGGGGCATGTCCTCCTCGTCTCTTCATTTGGTGCACGGTGACATGTATTCTCTGTGGTTAGAGTGCCTCTCGCTAAATCCAAACTGCTGCTGGGCAAGAAGTGACTCCCCTGTTCCTGTGTTCCTGTGTTCCCATCTGCACAGTTATCAGCTGGAAGTGCCTCCGTGCTTGGGAAGAGCATGCTGCCATCCCTTAGGGCCTCAGCAGCACTGGGGGGAGCAAAGTCAGGGCTTACCTGTTTTGAAGGAAATAAGCTGTGTGTTTCCATCCCTGCTGAGGCAGCACGCGCCGTCCTGTGCTTTCCCAATATCTGTGTTGTCAGTGTCACCCTCATGCAGTTCTCTTCACCTCCTGCTTCTTGCTTCAGCTTCACAGTCAACCCTTCCAAAGATGCCATCACTGACCCTGTCCATGTGTCTGCATCTGGGGTCCCTGTGGCTGAGCACGCTGCAGGGGGACCGGGTACCCCAGAGCATCACGGGCAAAGAGCAGACATGGTCCAGTCTGGAGAGGTGGGACAGTGGTGTCTTATGGCCTTTGCATTTAAACCTCTCCTCCCTCCCCAGATCTCTGTGTGGGATATATTCAGCTGTGACAATGTCTCATGCTCTCAGCCTTGTAGGCAGCAAATGAGGGTGGTATGAGCAGGACTCTGAGGATGGCTCGCTCAGAAGCATCAAGCTTTATGCTTTGGCTAGGAAGAACGCACCTGGCCCAAGGAACAAAGCAAGCCCTACCCAAGGAGCAGCTCTGTAGGACCCTCCTGCCGCAGGGAACCGCACAGCATGAATCCCTGCAGACAAAGCTGTCTGTGTCTGTGTCTACACCTCCCTCCCCACCCCTGGCTGAAGTCCCATCTGTCTGTGTCTATTAGACAGCTAAACATTGGAGGAGATTAGTGTGATTAAGTGATTAAAATCCAATTAAGATAATCCTTGGCAGCAGACATCTTCTCCGGGAGGCTGTGGTCTGTAGCATATCATGGGGTTTGGATTTTCCCATGTCTGATGGTGTAGCCAGGGAAGGAGAAATTCCTAGGTCTTTCTGGAAGGACAGATATCATGGGGGTGCTCCCTCAAGCAACATCTCTCTGATGCCTGTTGTTGATTTGATTCGTTTAGGCTCAGTGCTGTGGACATCGCATCGTTGCTGGGAAACATGGAAGAAATCTCTGCATTTCAGCAAACACTGAACCAAGCCTTGGAAGAAGTTGCAAAGTAAGCTCATGCCATAGCACTGAGGCTGTTAAGCCATTAAACTGCAGCTAAAAATAATAGAAAGACATGTTCATTAATGTTCCTCCTGGCTGCTGTCTTAGACTTGTTAAATATAGAAGGAAATAACAGGATTGAAGAGGCAGGAGGGAAGGTAGAAGAAGCTCTGACATTTCTACTGTTAAGGTGCCTGCTGAATGAGGGTGTCACTAGACCTGACACGAAGTGTACCTAGACCAAAGATGCAGCCACAAACAGGGTGGGAGATCTGGCAGGCAGGAAGATGAGGATTGCCAGGGAGCAAAGAGCAAGTTATTAGAGGTGATGATTTCCCACAGGGAAGCTGGCAGACGTGTTCAGCCTTAGCCTGGCCTCTCCTTTGGAAGGGCTGAAAGGAGATGGGGAAGAGGCTGAGCACTGGAAATACATTCAGGCTGTGGCTTCTCTTTCTCTCTCCTTCTCCTCTGTCATATTTACGGGCAGAGGGTGAGACCACCCTTGCATTGCATCCAGTTCTTTCCAGCACATCCCCATCAGCCATGGTGGGCCACAGCATCCCAGCTGCAGCTCTGCTGGTGGGACAGGGCCAGTGGGGTCACTCCTTGTCCCAGGCTCATAGTGGGTTGGTGGTAGTCACTGTCTGCCCCACAGAAACCCAGACCCATCTGAGGGCTTCCTTCTTCCTCCTCCCCAAGCAGCAGGCATGGGTATTCTGCTCAGTGCTGCAGTTACATGGTGACTCGGGAATGTCCTGGTGGTTCCTGGGCAGGTCCCTGAGGGTGCTGTAGGTGCAGGGTGCAGAGCAAGAGGCTTAACATGATGACTTGGTGTCCGTAGGCTCCCCGAGAACCAGCAGCGTGTGGGAGGCTGTTTCATGAACCTGATGCCCCAGTTCCGCTCCCTGTACCTGACGTACTGCGCTAACCACCCCTCAGCAGTCAACGTCCTCACACAACACAGGTGAGTGATGAAGGAGGAGATGGAGGCTGAAATCCTGCCTTTCAAAAGGTACTTTTATCATGAACACTTGGCCTGGCGTGGCTTCTGACCTGCAGTTTGGCAGCAGGGCAAGGGGATAACATGGGATCCTGCTGCTGGGAAAACTGCAGGGGCTTTGGACTCTTAGCTCCAGCATGGAGACAGCTCATGCTGCTGGTGTTCAGAACTGGTCTCACAGGTCCTATCTGCACATACAGGACTCTTCAGTAAAACAGAGGCAACCTCAGCCCTTGCAGTAGCATCTGCAATGATTGTTGCTTGCTAAGGACAGAGATGCTGTTTCAGACCCACTCGCATAAGGGAGTGTGTTCCCATGTGGCACTATGGTGTGGAGCACATCGTTGCAAAGTGAAGGTGATCATCGAGTCACCCAGAGTCACCTGAATTGTTAAATGAGCTGCTGTTCAACCAGATAGTTGATTTGCAGGGTCATTGGTACATAGCAGTAATAACATCTTTCTTCATGTCTCACTTGAATAGACCCTTGAATTTGAGTCATGTCATGCTAAAGAGCATGGCAAGCCAAAAGCCTACAAGTGTGTCATCCCTATTGCACACTGTCCTCCCTATAGTGATGGGACAGCCAGGACCCCTGGCCATATTGTTTAAGCCTTCCCATTCAGCAATGGGAACTCACAATAGATTTACTTACCTTCCTAAATCCAGCTTTAATTCAGCCTAATGCAAAGCCTGGCTCCTGGAAATGACTCACTCAGGTGGTTCCTCAGTCTGACCCCTTTCCTTAAATCAATCCAAGAACCAGCTTTGGCTGACACACACAGGCCATGTCTTCCAGAGCAGTGTACATGCTGCCACCTGCATCCCTGCTCCCAGCAGCATCCCAGCGCACTGCTGCAGCATCCTTCAGCACAGCACCCTCCCCTGCATCCCTGGGGAGCAGGGTCTTGCTTGGCTGGGGGCTCGCAGCTCCCTGCCAGGTTTGAGGTGCTCAAAGCGGGAGGCTGAGCTGCCTTGGGAAAGGCACAGCTCAGAGCAGAGCCCTGGCCATGAGGAGACTGTGGGAGGCAGCAGCACACAGCCCTCGGCGGTGGCGAGCCCTCCTCCTCCTCCTTCTTGTTGTTGTTGTCTCTATTTATAGTGATGAGCTGGAGAAGTTCATGGAGAGCCAGGGTGCGGCCAACCCCGGCATTCTCATCCTGACCACGAGCCTCAGCAAACCCTTCCTGAGGCTGGATAAATACGTGACGCTGCTGCAGGAGCTGGAGCGGCACATGGAGGTAGGTGGGATGTGGGGGGCTGCCGGGCAGGATGTGCTCCTTGATGCTGCCCCCCCGCCCCAAGCTGCTCTGCCCATTGAGCACCACATTCCTACAAGTACTTACTGCCCCTCCAAGGAGGTGTCCCATCTCCAGGGGACATTATCTACCATTCAGATTAGGAGTGTGGAAGCGGTGGAGGAGTCTGGGGGGTGTTGTGGGAAGGCATTGCCTGCTCTTTGCTCCAGCCCATCCTCAGGGATGGGCTATTTCCAGCACAAGTAAAAGCAGAGTTCAGGGTCAGGCCACAGCTGGTATTTATTTGCACAGTGGATAATAAATCTGTGTTTTTATTCTCATTTCATAAGATTCCAGTGCCTGGCCACTCACTCCCAGGCACATTCCCACCCCTCACCCAAGGCTCATGCTCTGGGGTGGAGGCAGAAGTAGACCTGGCAGCCGGCACAGACACTGAGAGTGCCTGGAAGCAGGGAGAGCAGCAAAGGGACACACAGACCCTCAGTGAGCAGCAGATCTGCTTTAGGACATGTCTGTCCCCATCTCTGGGGACTGTAGAGATCTGAGCTGCTGGAGCTCTGCTCCTCGCCTGCGGGTGCATTGCAGCTGCAGCACGCAAACCCCGAGGGTGGGATAAAGAGGTGAAGAAAACAGAAGCAACAGTCTATTTTTAACCAGGTTTGGTTTTCCCTCTTCCAGTATTAATTACTCAACACACTTCACCAGGGTCATTCAAATCCACATCCCAGTCAGAACCCCCCGTGTGCTGGGTGCACCCCCAGAGCGTGAGCAGCAGCTCAGGGAGGGGATCCTGCCCCTCTGCTGTGCTCTGGGGAGACCCCCCGGCCGGCTCTGGGGAACAGCACAAGAGGGACGTGGAGCTGCTGGAGCGAGGCCAGAGGAGGCCCCGGAGCTGCTGCGAGGGCTGGAGCAGCTCTGCTCTGGAGCCAGGCTGAGAGAGCTGGGCTGGGGCAGCTGGAGAAGAGAAGGCTCCTCAAGGGGACACCTTAGAGCAGCTCCAGTGCCTAAAGGGGCTCCAGGAGACCTGGAGAGGGGCTTTGGACAAGGGATGTGGGGACAGGACAAGGGCAATGGCTTTAACCTGCCAGAGGGGAGATTGAGATGAGCTTTTGGGCAGAAGCTCTTCCCTGTGAGAGTGCTGAGGCACTGACACAGGGTGTAAGAGCACTGTATGCACACCACAGACCTGTCCTGCTCTCACCTGCCTTAGCTGAGCTGCAGGGACTGAGCGGAGTGTGGCCGCAGCCACCATGCCCATACAGAGACAGCGTGCTCTTTACAGGATGCTGTGTGGGATTCAGCAGTGGATTCAGGGACACACACATCACCTATTCCTCTTAGTTTCTAAGCTGAGTGTGGGAGGTTTGTTGCATGAATCAGTAGGGTTGAGGTTTAAGCTGTGATGCCGTGGGAGGAGGATGGATGTGTCCAATGCAGATGTATGCAGCATGGATGTGTACCAGAGCATTCCCTCTGCTGCTGCGCAGCTGGAGACACAGGGTAGGTATGTTCAGGGCAGTCTTCATCCCAGATTCAGAGGTGAGCAATCCCAGGCACCCTTGATGGGGCAATGGCTACAATACCGTGCATGCCAATGGGAGTTTCCTTCCTGAAGGTGAAACCAGAAATCCACCCTGCACCTCTGCCTGTTTTGATTGTTTTTCTTTGCAAGCTGAGTTTGTTCTGAGTAAAATCCCATCTGTTCTTACTGTGGCCACTCTACACTCATTAAATTGATGTTAATGAATTGTATACCTGCTTTAAACCATGTCCCACTGAACTGGGTGGCGAGGAAGGTACCTGGGAGGCTTTGTCCCCTTCAGCAGCCCCTCTGCCCTTCATGCCCGCTTTGAGCACCCTGTGAGCTCTGCAGCCCTGGGTGCGCTGGGGCGGTGGGTGCTGCGCAGGGTGGGTGATGATGCTGGTGGTGGTGGCTGAGGCTTCTTCTCTCCCTTCACTAGGAGGCGCATGCAGATCACGAAGAGGTTCTGAAAGCCGTCACATCCTTCAAGTCCCTTGTGGTAGGTGGCAGTTCTTAAAATAGCACACTCCATTTCAGGGCTGCATTGAATGAGTCAAGCCTGACATTTGTCTCCTCCATTAGAAACAAAATAAGTGTTCTGGAATGGAAAAGATGGGTTAGAAAGTATCTTCATTTCAAGTTTCAAGCCTAGAGCTGCCCCTCTGGCTACGTCTTCCCAGCAATTGCACACTGGCTCCGTGGTCCCAGCAGGAGGGATGAAGGGATGAAGGATGCTCAATGTTCTCTGCTGCAGAAAGCCACATGTGGGTGGTGGTGGTGGTGACAGGGTCCCTTTCATGTTCTTTTGCCTCTGTACCCTAATCATTTGCCCCATGCTCACTGAGATGAGCTGTGAAAGGTTACCAGGGCTGCCTGACTCAACTGCTGATGCCCATCGAGTGACTCTTGGTTTTGTTGAGGTTTGCTCCGTGGGCATCGGGAGACCTTGACCATATTGCAGGGAATTTGCTGTGGCCATTGGTGGGGAACAGAGCAAGCAAAGGGCTGAGTCTGAGCTAACAAGCCTATTCCTGTGAGCTGTGTTACCTGCACCCATTCAAGTCCTGCTGCACTGAGAGGGAAAAGAGGGGGAAAAGCCACCCACGTGCATGAAGGTTCTACCCAGTAAAGCTTTTTTCAGTTATTAAGGAAGCTGTAGTCTCTCTCACTTTGTAGCCACTGAATACCTTTCACTACAACCACTCCAGATGTGGTCCAACTTCCTTCCTTAGCGCTGCAGATGCAAGTTTTCGGTGCTTAGCAGTGCAGATAAAAGATGGGGAGGAGAAAGTTCATAGAAAACAGGAAAGGGCGATTATGTTACATTTACTTAGAAACCCAGCTCTCATTCCATTTGTTCTGGTAGATAATAGGGGAATAATTCAGTTAAATGACAGGGTGGTGTTAATCTATAGGAGTGCTCGTAAGCAGTGGATGGTTTTACTTGAAATGTGCACTTGGGTGCTGAGTAATTTAATGTAATTGTGAGACAACTGAAGAGGTTCAGTGTGGATCTGAGGTTAGATGGGCAGAGATGCCCCTCGTGGCTGATGTCTGCTCCCATAGTAGGACCAGGGAGGGACCACGGAGCTGCTGTGATTTGCAGTGGTGCCTCTGCACAGACTGCCATGGATTGCTGTGGATTTTGTATGGATTTGCACCCTGGGAATGCTGGATTTGGAGCACACAAATGGTTGCAAAACCAGAGGAAGCCCCCGCAGTTTGGTTCAACTGTGTGCTTTCAAACTAGCCCCAGAGCAGCTTCTCACTTTGAAGATCTGGGTAGTCAAAGAGTTTGTACAAAACTGAGCTGGAAAGGAGGAAAATCTCTGCCAGGTACAGGGGTTTGGAAAAACCCAAGTAGCTGGTGAAAACTGAGCCCGGGTTTGGCTTTGCAGCAGTTTTCCTCTTGGCAGAGGGTCAGTTAAAGCAAGTTTTGCTTGGATTTGCAGGACTGTCTGTTCCATCGGTGCTGTCCTTTGCTTGCTGAGAGCTGCAGAAGGACTGGTGGCTCCGTGGAGCTGTTCCAGTGCCCAGCTGCAGAGCATCAGTGCAGTCCTTTCAATTACAGCACCTTCAAAACCTTCTTTTTGTGCTGCTCTGCTGGAACACTGCGCCAAGTCCTGCTGTTGGGTTTGCAGATTCTGGTTACAAAATACCCCCCCCATCTGATGACAGAGGTTTTGCATTGCTGCAACTAAAGCTCTCTTTGCTGGCTGGGCAAAAGGGGCAAAACCTCTGTGAGCAGCAGCCAAGTTAGAGACATGTCACTGTGGCTGTCTTGGGTTTGGAAACTGTGACTCTGTGCTCTCAGAGGTGGGACTGGTTTGGAAAGAAAAGCTTGCTCAGTGTACGGTGCAAGTTCTATGACATTTCATGTGTTCATTACTTCATAAATCACTCGGGTGTGAGTTTCTTTAACCAACTCTGTGTAACAGAACCCAAGCAGGTTTTCCCTACCCCTTGCCATGACCAGCCGTGAGCCCATGTGGCTGTGGGAGTGTTGCTGGTGAAACCATCTTTGTTGGGATGGTTTGGGTTTGCTCCTGCCCTCTTGGCTAGTGAAGCATCCCCTATCATTCCCAGACGCAATGCCAGGAGCTGAGGAAGAGGAAACAGCTCGAGCTGCAGATCCTTTCCGAATCCATCCAGCGCTGGGAAGGAGAGGACATAAAAACGATGGGAAACATCATCTACATGTCCCAGGTCATGGTGCAGTGTGGGGGAAGTGAGGTGAGTGAAGTGCTCCTTCTCCTGGCTAAAGGCATTGTGTCCAAATATCGCCTTGCTCGCAGGATCGGGCAGCAGCTACTCTCACTCCAGGCCAGCAAAGCACTGACAAACAATGCTGATAAATCATTTTACCCAGGGCAGAGCTGCACAATGGGACTGTGCACATCTTCGGAGTCAGGCACCCTGGGGGCTTAGCTTCAGGTCTTTGCTGACACCTTTCTCAAGCAGAAGTGTCTCAGCGTCATGCACACATTAATTTCCCTCTTTCCCCCCTGTGACTGACTCTGAGAAATGAGAATGACTTGTAAGTGTGCATTAGCATAACCATTTTGCACTTCCTGTGCACGCTGTGACATCCCACTCCAGAGCTGACTGTGCTCTGGAAATAGCTGGAGGGATTCCTGTGCTGCTGGTCCTGAAGCATCACACCACAGACCTTCAGCAGTGGTGTTAAAGCCATGCCTACTGCATGTTTGGTGTGGGGAAGTGCCTGTTCTCACTGAATTCCTTGCTTGCAGTAGCAAATATTCCCCAGGAAAGGAAGAGCTGTAGAGCAAAGCCCTGTAGGGCCTAGTCCCAGAGTCTGGTCTGGGATGTGAGATGCTGGAGGATATAAGGTCTTGGGAGGCACTTTGAAATGACTGGGGGAGGATTAGCAGACAAAGGTGTATGCAGGAAAAACTAGTACAGCAATGAGATGCTGTAAAGGAGAAAAGCCACAATAATGGGTAGAGGGGGGATCTCTCCCAGGCTGTGATTGCAGCTGCAACAAGTTCAGTTTGCTGGAGGAAGACCCTTGGGAGGCATTGGAGACTGGAGTAACCTTCACTCTCATCCCCGCAGGAGAAAGAGGAGCGCTATTTCTTGTTGTTTTCAAACGTTCTGCTGATGCTGTCTGCAAGCCCACGGATGAGTGGGTTCATCTATCAGGTAGGCACGCTCGTTTGAATTGGAAGCTGCAAGGCGTTGGGTGAGGGAGGAAATCAGATAGCTTTTATCAAATTCAACCCTTTCTGCTTCCTTGAAACTCGCTGGTGTCATGCAAGAGCCCCAGGCTGGGAACTTGCATTTGGTGTTACCAAACCACTTTGTGCCTTTGTCCTGCCAACTGGTTAAACAGCATTTGGTAAGTGAATGCTGTGAAATTAGGAAGGAAAACCTTCAGAGCATGGTGGTCTACAGGCAGTCCTCGAGAATGATGTGGATGTGAAGGTGTCCTGACCCAGCTGTAGGGTTTTGCCCCACATGATTTCAGTGTTGTGCCCTCACTGGAGAGTATCTCACTACTATAAAGCCCACTGTAAAAAGCTCAACATTTCCTCTCCAAAACTCTGCATTTCTTGTGTTTTGCCATTTGAATGGCTGCAGCCAGGCTGTTGGGAGCTTGGCTTCACTCCAGTTGCCTGGAACCATCATTAATACACTCCAGGAGAAGGATGCTCTTGTGTTGCCGTGTTGTTTGTCATACCCAAGGGAGATGGGAGAGGTTTGGGCAGGATTTGGCTGGGGTATTCAGTTCTTGCCAGTGAGCAGGCAGTTCAGCATGCCAAGCAGAGGCACAGGGAAGGCTTCCCAAAAACCAGGGGAAGTTGGTCCTTCTGACTTGGTTGTGCAGAAGGTTTGCATCTAGTGAAGGGGAAGGGTAGAAGATGAGCTGGAATGACTCAGTTGTCATGGGAGCCTCTTCTCAGGGTTTGGCCTAGTTGTGCAGTGAAATGGAGATCCATACATTAGAGACTCCTCCTGCAGTCAGAAGCCTTTACAAATGAGTTTTTAATGGCGATTCCCAAAGAGAAAGGAATTGGCAGGAAAACAAGCAGAACAACCCCCGCTGGGAAGCCGATGCAGACACTGACTCCTCCTCAATTCCCTTAGGGAAGGCTGCCTTTGACGGGAATGACGCTCACAAAGCTGGAAGATGCTGAAGGGAATGAGCACATGTTTGAAATCACAGGTCAGTGGGGCCCCTGCCTCGGGCCATGCCCCGTGTCCCAACAGCAGCTGCCACTGGAGGTACTGGTGGTCTCCTCCTCGCCCTAACCACTGCACCACGCTCTTCTGTGCCCTTTTACTGTGTGTTGTCTATATTCCTGAGCATCTCCCTCCTGGTTGAGGCAACCTCCTCCCAGCGCCCTCCAGCTCTGCCTCTGGGCTGCTTTTGGAGACCTTAGTGTTCTGTATGGGATAAATCACCTTCCCCAGTAGCACTGCTCTGTGCTGTGTATGCCCTGTCTGCACCCGGCATCCATCCCATGCAGCTGTGAGCACCTTGGTTATTGATTGACAGCTCTGGTCATCAGGGAGCTTTCCTAATGTTGCTGCCAATTTTCACCAGTTATTTGTGCTGATGACATTTGGTGTCAGGGGCCTGATAGCCACAGAAATGTTGCATTTGCTTGCTTTTCATATGAAATAATACCTCACACACTCATGTCACCAGTTCCCTTAGGTTTTCTGAGCAGCTCCCGCACTGGGTGACTGGAGCAGGACAGACTGTCACATCTTTGCCTTGGCTTTTTTTAGTCTGTAGACATTGCAGTCTGAGGAGCATCCTGTGGCTGTGCCGAGTTGAGCTCACCCTGTGTGTCTCTACTGTCAGCTAAAGACAGTTCTTTTACCCTCTGCCATAGGGAACATGACGGAGCGGATCACTGTGTCCTGCAGCACCAGCCAGGACTTGCACGAATGGCTGGACCACTTGCAAAGGCTGACCAAGGGGACGTGCAGCATCATCTCCAAAACACAGTCCTGGAATGCTCATTCGGTGAGTGTCTCATCTCCCCATCTTCTCCATGCCCAGGGTTCCCTCACACTGGGGAGGGAATACACCTTGGTATGGAGGTACAGCTGTAAGACACATGCTACCATTGTGTTTGTAACTGTGTCGTGCTTGTACCATTCTACATGTATCCTGCCCTAGTTTTGATTCAACCTAGATGTCTCCAAGAAGTTCCCACCGAAGCCTTGTCCACCTCTGCGTGGCTGGGTGGCTAACAGCCTTCATTTGCTTCTCATCTGTGTTCTCAGACGTTTAGTTCAGCTGGACAGATCCGTGGGCCTCTGGAACCCCCCAAAATCCTCAAGCCCTGGAGCTTGAGCTGCCTCCGTCCTGCTCCTCCACTCAGACCCTCGGCAGCGCTGAGTTACAAAGAGGTAACCATCCCGTGTGCCTGCAGAGCATCCCTACTGCTCCTGTCCAGGTTTCTCATCCCATAGCAGGGGCACAGAAGCTCAGGTTGATGGGATGTTGAGAGCAATGGCTCTGCCAAGCTTTGCCCCAGCCCTGTGATGGGTGCTTGTCGCTGTGGCTGGCTTTGTGCTGCACATGAAGCGTGAGCACGTGTGTTTGCAGGTCCCACAGTGTGTGTCCCTGGTCCCACAGCCTTGTGTGTCCCATTGAGTCCTTTGGCAGTGCCATGGTGGGTGGTGGAGCTGCCTCCTCTCCTCCTCCTGCCTTAGTCTGAGCCATGGGTTCCCTGCTGGGATGTGGTCCAGCTCCAGCCTTGCCCAGGCTGGTGCCGCAGGATGGAGAAGCAATGGTGCACCAGGAGGAGGAGGAAAAAAGCCTGTTGATGTTTTTCTTATCTCCCACCCTGTGTTTTGGTGGATGGAGCAAGGCTCCTGCAGCACTCCTTCGCCACCCACCTCAGTGTTTTACACGCCCATACCCTGCTGGGAGGCAGCAGCCCCAGGGATCGCTACCTCCACAGAAACCTCAAGCCTCGGAGGTAGGGGGTGGCGTGGGGAAACCCAAAATATAACCCAGCTCTGCTTCTCACCCCCCTGCTGCAACTGCAGTGCTCTCCTTCCCTGCCTCATGGTAAACTTGTGGGATTACTCACCAGCAACCTGGGTAACGTTCCCCTCCTGAATGAGCACTCTGGTTCTGAGTCAGCTGCCCTTCTTGGTACAGCAGCCCTGGGAGCATCACTGCCCGGGCTCCCAGGGGGATGGGGATGGGGGGCTTGGACCTCCCCAGCTCTCAGGACTCAGGGATGGAGAGCGCAGCAGCCGAGGGGGCGGTGGGTCTGCTGCTCCAGGTAGAGATTTTAAGTAGCCTCATGGCATTGTGTTGCTTTGGTTTCTTAGAATGTGTAAAAGACCACATTTCAGTGTGGGAATTAAGTTGTTCAAACAGGCAGACTGGAAACGAGCCTTACTCTTCGCATGGTCCAGATCCCTCACGTAGACTAAACTGTCACTTGCTTGCATGGTGATTTAAAATAGGCTAGAAAGGCAACAAGAGGAGAAACTTTCCTGTGTGAAAGTGAAAGGCTGATACTTATTTCTAAGGCAGACCAAACCAACAGCTTGAGTGAGATCACTAACACCATGGTCCTTAGTAGTTTCTCAGTTGTCCCCTGCCATGCAGAGCAGGAGTTAAACTCTTAGTGTCACAAGCAGGCACGAGGTTTTGCCACAGAGGGACAGGGTGGGATGCTGCTGCAGGCTGGATGGTGGCGTGCAAGCTGTCAAAGGACCCGTTATGTGGTTTGCATAGGAACAGGCTGTGCTGGCCAGGGTGGTGGGAACCCAAAGGCCAACGGGTCCACCAGAGGTGGGCAGGCACAGCCTGGTATTGGGTCAGTCCATACTCTCAGGGGAGGACATGAGCCTCTGATGACAAATGGGAGCTAAGTTCCGTTGTTGGCCCAGGCAGATCTCCATCTTCCTCATCCCTCCCTCTGGGTGCTCAATCACTAATCACTCCTATTTCGCGTCTCTGCTTTTACTTTAAAGTAGGGCACAAAATAAGGTCCGTGCTTCCTATAATGAAGGTATAATGTCAGATTGCAAAGGTTATCTGCATGGAAGTAAGTGGGGGAGTTTGGATAAGAGATGAGAGATGTTCAGACATCCAGTGTGACTTTACACGCAGTGTAGGACGCGCTGGCAGAGTCTTGTGCATTTCCTCGTACCTTGCTGTGCTCAGGAAACCCCAGACCTGCTTGCGCACTGCGCTGCACAGCACTCGTGTTATTTCCATTGAAATTGGGTCATTTTTCCTGTTCTGTTTCCAGTAACCATTTGAAATGACAGAGCAGGTGCTGTGGGTAAAGGCGTGTGTCAGGATTCAGGTTTGCAAAGTGAAAAACCCCAGGTTTATAGATGATTCCTTCTGCTCTCTTTTCTTTCTTTCTTTACTTTAAGTGGCCTGCTTTGCATCAGGTGAAGGATTTATGACATCAAGATTCAGGACTTGGCTGGCCAGACCTGTAGGAGAGCCCCATGGCTCCCTGAGCTGAGCATCCCAGGGATGGGGTCTCCAGGAGCTCCCTGTCCTGCCAGCAGAGCAGGGAGAAGCTGGTGCCTGATGCTGTCAGTTCTCCAGTGAAGATGCAGGTTCCCTCTGAGGAGGTCCCCTTTGAGATGATGCAGTCGTAGGAACACCAGGGTGGGCAGAGCATCCCATCATCCTGGCTAGGTTGGGTTGAAGACCACAGGACTGGTATTGAGCCCAAAGCTGCTCCCCAGGGCTCAGATGGAGCTGGGCGAGCAGGGTGGCTGCAGCATTCCTGACACCAATGGGTCCTGCATTTTAAGCACTGTTTGAGACAACCAGCATCTACAGAAACCTACTACTAACCAAGGAGGCATATTCTCTATTTTTATGTGTTTAGAATGTATTAATGCCCACTTACCATGCCTTTCACATGTAATGTTTTCAGTTCTGCATGCCACCATGCTCCTTTGCATGTCGACAGTGCTCTGAAAGCAGTACGGAGGGTGTGCCACATTAATCACCAGACTAACATTTAAATGTGTTTTAGAATTGTGGATTTAATGGACCTGGTCAATAAAATCATCAATTTCTCACACTCATCTTCTCTTTCTTTGCATATTCATTGTAGAGGATGTCTTATATCTTAAAGGTAAGGGTAGATACATCTCTCTTTGGCTTGTTGTGGCAAAGAATGCTTGTTCCTGTTCACGCTTCTCGTGCTTGCATGACCCTCACTTTGCCTGGCTCTATCAGTGAGTTATCATGAGTCAGTAGTGGCTGGCAAGTATATTTTGAGTTAACTCTCAAGAAGGATTTGGTATTATGGTACTTCAACTTCGTGGCAAGCCTCTTCTGCTTAAAATCCTTATTGCATGTAACCTACTAATCCACTAATTCTCTCCAAATCAGCGAGACTTGTAACTCAGTGAAGGAGATAAAAGCTTGTGTTTCTCACCCGCGGAGTGACAGCAAACACTAACTTCGTGTATATTTGTTTGTTCTCTGTGTATGTGTGTGGGATTTATACTCTCAAATGAATGCATTTAGGAGCAATATTATTTGACAACTGTTTTATATGAGAAATCCAAGCAAGCCAAGGAAATAAACAACATTATAGGGTTTTCTAACAAAGACCACCAACGTGAGCAGACTAAAAGTGCTGTGAATGTGTTTGAAATCTTCGGCTAAAGTATCATAACCCAGGGTTGAATTTGCTAAGGAGCTTGTCCTGGTGCAATTCCCACCGCTGTTCCAGGCAGCAGTGGGCCACAACTAGCACATGGGAAGGGCAGAGAGCATCATTGTCCCCAACTTTGTCACTGTCTGCTATGTAGTTCTCTCATGTGTTGTGCGTAACACAGATAGCTGCATTCAACTGTGCTGCTCTGCTGTTAGAGCTGCCCCTGAGTCTGGTTAAACACAAGGCTCTCTTTCTCTATAGGATTCCAGCAAAAGTCCCAAAACAATGAAGAAGTTTCTTCCAAAGAGGAAAACAGAGAGAAAACCATCAGATGAAGAGTTTGTTATCCGGAAAAGTAAGTGTTGTGTTTTCCTTTACTCCTGGGAGGTTTCTGTCTACTCAGCGATCCCCTTGGGACCTTGGTGCAGCAGGATGCCCACGCTGGGAGCAATCCTATGTGCTGCTGAGCATGGGAGGCTTCTGGAAGCATACTGGTCCTCAGGCTCTGACATATCCCCTCCCAGTCGTGACTGCCAGACATGCTCCCATCCTAGCACAAGGTCATGAGTTGGGGGTGGTCTTGTTCTGGCTACAAAGCCAAGGAACGACTTCCAAGTAGATAAAAGCTGCTGTAAACTGCACATCATCAGGCATCAAAATATGTCTCGAGAGCTGGGACAAACCCTGGCCATGCCAGTGGGTCCTGGAACAGTCTCCAGGGAGTATCAGGGAACACAAAAAGGCCCTTTCCCTGCAGGGGTGTCCACCTGCAAAGAGGGATGTCCTGGAAGCTCCCTGAAGTCCACTTGGGACGCTCCTTGCGGGTTTTACGTGGAAGGCCATGGTCACCCAGTGGTGAGCTGGGTGCTCTACATGGTTGTAGCAGACCCCTCCTAGCAGAGCTGCTCTGCCTACCCACCTCCCAGTGCTGCCTGCACCCAGAGCCAGGCATCACCCCCTGAGCTTTGTGGAGAGGAGCAGCTACAAGTGCATTTTCACACCATTGAGGCACAGTGCTTGATGCCACAGGATGTCGCAAAGGCCAGAAACGTAAAGGATCATAGAATCCCAGACAGGCTTAGGCTGCAAGGACCTTAAAGCTCATCCGGTTCCAACCCCTGCCCCGGGCAGGGACACCTTCCACTAGAGCAGGTTGCTCCAAGCCCCTGTGTCCAACCTGGTCTTGAACACTGCCAGGGATGGGGCAGCCACAGCTTCTCTGGGCACCCTGTGCCAGCGCCTCAGCACCCTCACAGGGAAGAGCTTCTGCCTCAGAGCTCATCTCAGTCTCCCCTCTGGCAGGTTAGAGCCATTCCCCTTGTCCTGTCCCTCCATCCCTTGCCCAAAGCCCCTCTCCAGGTTTCCTGGAGCCCCTTTAGGCACTGGAGCTGCTCTAAGGTGTCCCCTTCAGGAGCCTTCTCTTCTCCAGCTGCCCCAGCCCAGCTCTCTCAGCCGGGCTCCAGAGCAGAGCTGCTCCAGCCCTCAGGGCATCTCTGTGGCCCTTCTCTGGACTCGCTCCAACAGGATCTCAAAAGGGAACTGGACAAAGTCCCAGAGGCAGTGTCAGTCAAGGAAGCAGCACCCTCTTCCTTTAAGGGACTTGGGAGCAAAGGCAGGGGATGATGAGCCCAGAGAACGTTACTTTCTGTGATAGCTGCTGTCTGCTGTGTTCGACAGGTACTGCTGCGCTGGAAGAAGATGCTCAGATCCTGAAGGTGATCGAGGCATACTGTACCGGGGCAGGTTTCCAGCAAGCTCTCAGCTCAGGTGGGCACACAACCACATTATTTAGTTCTGACTCTGCCCACAGCACTGATAACCCCTCTGGGAAAAAAACAGCTGGTTGCATCATACAGCACCGAGACTCATGCTAGGAAACTGTGTGGTATTCAATCTGCAAGATAAGGGAGCTTCATCTGCCTAGTGGTTTAGTTGCCATTGTTTTTCTTCTAAACACAGAGGATGAAGAAGGTAGGAGGGCAGATGAGACACAGCTATTTCACCAGCACTAAGGAATTAAGCAAACCTAGACAGGGCCTGTGGCTGTCGGCACTGACAACCTGATGGTAATCTCAGGTTGCATGTAGCTGTAGAAAGGAAGCATGAGTATTATCTCTCTATCAGCTGCATGTTGAAGTTGCTTCATAAGAACCTATCTAACAGCTTCAGCTCTGGAAATAAAACTATTTATCATTGCTGGTGAGATGGCAAATTAGATCACTGTAATGTGAAAAAGAGGGGGCATGGTTCCTCTCAGATCTCTTGACCCCACTCGAATGATCTCCTTTATAAGTCATGATGCAGCCTTATATGCAGTGAGCACTCCTGAAAACTTCCCCATTGCTGCTTTAGCTCCAGGTTGGTGGCACCTCTCAGCCTGTATTTAACCATGGCAGGCAGCTGGAGGCTGCTGCAGCTCCAGCCTGCCCGAGCGTGCAGAGAAGCAGGGAGGAGGAGGGCTGCTGCCTCCGGAGCGATGTGGGCATCAGGGAAACATCCCCCTTTTTCATCCTGATGAGTAACTCTTGTACACAGGCTCCCGTAAAGACTCCATCCCCCAAGTCCTTCTTCCTGAGGAAGAGAAAATCATCATAGAGGAAACACGAAGCAATGGCCAGACTGTCACGGAGGAAAAGTAAGCGCGGCTGCTCCCTGCTTCCCGATCTCTTGCTGCTGTTTGGGAAGACATGGAAAACCCAGGCCCTCTCCTTTGGCCTCTGCTGTTATCACTGGCTGCTGCCTTAGTCCTGGCTAGAACCACCAGGCTATTTCAGTTGCTGTTTGTCCCTGTTTAGGAACAGAGCTGCATTCCCAGCTGCTCTGACGTGGCTGCAGCCCTTTGGGAGTCTGGGAACTGGGTCCCGAGAGCCAGTTGATGGAGTCTCGGAGCTGATCCAGATGCAGCTACTGGGGTCAGGGAGGACAGAACCAAACAAGTGGCTCTTTTAACGACTGCCATACTGGGGTGCTGCTGCCCCTCAGGAGCTGCGGGGCACCCCATCTGTGAGTGCTCTCCTATGTAGCTTCAGCAGCTGGGTGACTGCGCTGACCCACTCCTCACCCAGACAATGCATTCCTTTCATGCTTAGTTTTTTGCAGCATAACCTCAAGGGATCAAGGCCTTTTTACAAAAGACACTCAGGCATTTCCAGTTCTAAAATCATAGTTAGTTATTGCAGCAGCATGAACAAGGAAGCCAAAGCCACAGACCTTTGTTGATAACTTCAAGAGAGCAGAACAAGGTATTTTTCTTGAGGTTTGAAAAGAGAGCCCTGAATTTTGGACCACTGGCCTAGAAATGCTCTTGAGCTGGGTTTCCAGCGTCCCCTCATAGGGAGCAGCAAAAGCAGCAGCTTGATGCTTGCAAAGCAGAAGTACCTTCCCCATCAGCACCTCACTCACAAAACCTCCCGAGCTTGTTGCTGTTTTGCTGCACTCCAGCTCTTCCCTTGCATTTCTTTTTGCAGGAGCCTTGTTGACACGGTTTATGCACTGAAAGATGAAGTCAAAGAACTGAAGCAGGTAATTTGAGGGGGATTGTTTGTTCTGGGAGTTGAGCAAAAGCCAGCCAGGCTTTACTGGGGTGTTGTCTTGGGCTGGTTGGTGCCCAGGAGGAGTCTTGCCCAGTGTTGGTCTGGTCCTGCAGCTCCCTGAATTAGCTCACCGTGCAATTGCTTGAGCACCAGAGGCAGTTGGAGGGCAGGAGGAGTTGGTCTTTGTGGTAACATGGAACTTTCCCCCTGCTCTAAAAGCTCTTTCAATTTAGACTGGAGTGATGGGTTCAAACTAAAACAGGGGATGTTCAGGTTAGATCTAAGGAAGAAGTTCTTTGCTGTGAGGGTGCTGGGGCGCTGGCACAGGGTGCCCAGAGAAGTGGTGAATGCTCCATCCCTGGCAGTGTTCAAGGCCAGGTTGGACAGAGCCTTGGGTGACATGGTCTAGTGTGAGGTGTCCCTGCCCATGGCAGGGGGTTGGAACTGGATGATCTTAAGGTCCTTTCCAACACAAACCAGTCTGTGATTCTATGACTGTTCATTTTATAGGGATCTGATGGAAATACATCTCCTCCCTCCAGCCCCAAGCCTGGAGGTGGGAGACAGCACCCCAGAGCAACAAGGTCCTCCAACCTAGGCTAAAATTAGGTTTCCAGGAGGATGCTTCTGCCTGCTCAAAGTCACTGGGACTTGTGTGCAGGTCTGTAAGGTAGTAAGGGTCTGATGAGACCACAAGGAACCTTTGCTGTTCATCTTCTACACGTGACATGTCAAATGTCCCTGATACTTCATCACCTTGGAGGCACCAGGCAGTGCCTTGTTGCATAAAGTGCACGTGGGCATCGACTGCATCTTTGTTCCTTTATTTCTCACCTCGCAGGAGAACAAAAGGATGAAACAGTGTTTGGAGGAAGAGCTGAAATCCAGGAAGGACTTGGAGAAGCTGGTGAGGAGGCTGCTGAAGCAGACAGATGAGTGTGGCAGGGAGGACACGGGGCGCAAGTCGTCCCTGATCGCCTGAACTCGGGGAGAAGCTGCTGGCAGTGGTGTGTGACCTCAGGTGTATTTTGGGAAGCGGAACTGGATCCTTTTCCTCTTCTTCCTCCTTATTTTGTTGGTTTGGGGAATTTTGTTACCAAAAAAAAAAAAGTGTCATAGAGAAAAAAAGAAAAAAATCATAGTTTTCCTTCCATGCAGTAAGGAAATAAACCAGAAACAATCAATCACAGCTAAACCAGTAAGCAAGCGGTCCATGATTCACAATTCATCTGCAGCAACTAATACCTCATCGTACCTGCTACTGGGAGCAAATACAAACTCTGCTAATGATTGCTGCTCACAAAGGGTTTGGCAGCAGTTTCCTAAAAGGAAGCTTAAGCACTTTTTAATGCTTTCATTCGTTTCAAAAGCACCGGTACCTATTTATTGAATGAAAACATTATTGAGGTGGCATTGAGCAGAAACCAAAAAGCACCGTGCTCCTCTTTTCAGATAATCACAACTGGGGAAGCTCTTCCCATCCACCTTCTTGTTCCCCATTAGTTGACTGTAGCGAACTTAGAGCCCAGCAATACTGTGGTTCCCGTGTGGCCTTGATCCTGATTCAAATGTGCAATTATCATGAAGACATTGGAATTCCTTGGGGAAGTGAGAGCTGGAGCACCTGTCAGAGCGCATGGGAAGGTGTGGTGCACGGTGCTGCCTCCTGACAGCTCGTGACTAGCACAGCAGGTAACTGCTCTTCTGTCCCCCATCCCTTCCCTTATGCATGACCTACAACTCCTTCCCCTTGCTTTGTTTTCATATTGAGTGTCCAGGTATTGTATCAGTTTAGAGTTTTGCTGTGCTTCCCCTCGCAGGACGGGCTTTTCTCTGTATGAAATATAGACACTGCTTGACAACCAACAACACCCCCCAAACGTGCTGGTTCCCTGCTCCCTTCACCTTAGGCTCGCTGACGCTCCTTCCCAAAGGCTGGGAATGTAGCCAATGGCCACTTGTCCCCACCATGGCCCCAAAGGGGCTTTCTGCTAGGGAAAAGGAGCTTTCATTTGGGATAGGAAAGTTATTTATGCTTTGACAAGAGCTGGAATGCTCCTGGGGCTCGGATATGCAACACCCTTCAGATTCCTGCACAGCTCCTCGAACACAGCACACAGGCAACATGCATATGTATCAGCTATCTCCATCTTATTTGGTGTTACACCCTCATTTAGAACAACTGTTTTCCTTCCTTCCTTAGCAGCATTATAAAAGTAACCTTCTGTTAAAGCTAATGATAAGTCTTATGTATATCACTGGGATCACTGGGCAGCCTGGTTCCAGGGTGTGCAGACACACCACAGCTCCTCAGTTTGTAGGTTACGTTGGTCATGAAGGACATAACAGAGGCAATAATTACAACTCCCTCCTTGCAGTCAGAATTGAGCCAGAACATGGTAAATGATGTCTGGGGAGAGCTACGCTCCAGAACATCACAAGGAGCCAGAAAAGAAACCCTCTGTAAGCTGATTTTAGGACAGAACAGAGGTTCTTCTTTGCTCCAGAGCATCCCGTCTGGATGGCAGCTCCCCACATCCTTACCCAGGCACACCACGGAGCGGCTTGGTTGGCAGACAGGCCCTGCTGTGCTGGTTAATCGTGTTCCAGGGTGCTGCACGTGGGATGCGGCTGTTCCGGGATGCTGTATCCAGACCCCCTGGCACTGTCCTGTCCTCCTGCCTGCCCCGTGGTGGGATGGGGACCAGGCTTAGGCACGCAGCCCGTGCAAGGAAGCAAACCAAGGGCCATCCACACTCCAAGGAGAGGGTAGAAATGTTTCCTCGCTGCCCCCCGGTTGACTTGAAACCCGTGCTGTGTACATATGCATGTGTGTGAGGTGTAACGTGGTGGAGGGCACACTGGGACTGTTTGGATCAAGCATTTTGTCAAGAGCTAGAAGCCAAAAAAAGACAAGAAACTAAACTAAAAAGGAAAAGAAGCCATGCCGGATGGACAGCAATGTTTCCATATTTACTTTGTTTACAGTGCTTTGTAAATAGGTTCCAGTGAGTCTGTCTTTAGATGGATGTTGTGTCAGCTGCCTTCCAGTTTATCTTTGTCATGTAGGTTTATTTACTGTAACTACTTATGCAAGTTCAACTTTTCTAACATGTTTTTATTTTGAACAGTTTTTTAATTGACATTTTCAACAAATAAAGAAGGACAAAAAATCACTTCTTGGCTCTCAGGGCTGCTTCCGTTGTTCCCACCACGATGCTCTGGGCATCCCGGATATGCTCGGAGCGCCCATGGCTGCACCACGTGTTGGTGGGGACACTGGTGCAAATGGTGCTGCTAGCACGGGATCTGGTACTCCCACCATCACCCAGAGCTGCAGCAGGGAGGGGGCCCTGGTCCCAGAGGAAGGAGATGCTTTTCCATCCTTCAAGCCCTGCTTGCACTCTGCTGCCAAGGATGCTGTATGGAAAAGCAGCCACTCTCCGCGGCACTGGCAGGATGCTGTAGATAAGTGACTTCCTGCCCGTTTGAGATTTGATTTTATTCTTTTTTCTTCAGTGTGTGTGTTTTTCCTGGCATTTAGGTGTGGTGACAGGATTTCCTTTGGTCTACTGCTCGGACAAGACCTCTTCTCCTTTTAACTCTTTGGTAGAGGTGTGCCGCGCTCCCAGCCTGCAGCCGAAGCGGGAGAGCTGGATCCTGCTTTCTCTCTCCAAACACAGCACTTAGAGCAGGAAAAAGAACAAGTGGAAAGGAAACACTTGGGCATATGGTAGAAAAACCACTGATGTCTGCAAGGGAGACCCAAGTGGCACTTTGGGGACTTCAGGGAAGAGGCAGAGCAGGGCACCTCCGGCCCCAGGTGCTCTAGAGCTGGTGCTGGGCATGAGAGCAAGGAGGAGGCATCCGCCAGGCTCATCTTGGAGGGAGCATCTCCACTCCCATGTCCCCATGAAGCCAGATCCAGGCCTTAACCGGAGAGCATCCTGCTCTCCCAGTGCATACAGGGTCCCTTTGGTCCCCTCTTACGCCAGCTCCCAAACGGTCCCTTTGCATGACCCAACTCCAACACAGGCAGCAACAGCGTCCTCCAAGCAATGGAGCTCGGCTCCGAATTACCATCAACATGAAAATCAGGAAAATAACCCCCAACAGCTTAATCTGCACAGCCCAAAGCACTGCTGGAGCTGGGGATGCCCTGGAGGTGCCCATTCGTCATGGGCTGCTTCCACTGACCACCCCAGTACTGCTCCACAGCACCAGTGCCCCCAACCCAAACTGAACTGGGGGGAAGTGGGCTCCCTTGCCTCCAAGCACGGGTGCACACAAGGGATTTGGCCTCTTAGAAGACTGTCAGAGGGGACCCTGCCCCAACCAGGAGAAAGGGCCGTCACCAAGCAAGGGGTGCCAAGGTAAGGCTAGTACCAAGGCGCCCAGTAAGAGACCTTGCTTGGAAACTGGCATCCAGCACCGCAATGGCCTGTGCAGACCATCCCGGCACCGTGTTAGGACCAGCCCTGCAGCCTCCAGCCAAGCAAACCCTAAGCACTGGCCACATGTGAAAGCTCTTCCACTTCCAAACCTGCTGGATTCCCAGAGTATTCCCAAACTTTTGCACTCTGTCAAGTGTGACCTGTACAACCAAATGCTCCAGGCTTGCACCTTCGCCATCTTCAGATGCCTTTGAAGAGCACCACATCAACATCCTTGTGCCCTGCTGTTGCTCAGCGCACCTTCCCTTCAGGCTGAGCTGGAGAGGAGGGTCAGGGAGACCCTATTGTGCAGTGTACCCCCTGCCCAAGAGGGACTTCTGCCTGTGTGCACAGTCCTGCTCTCCCAGAGCTCCAGGAAAAGTGCTGCTGAGGGCACGTCCTCCCTGAGGACAGGCAGAAGATGCTCTTGGACGTGCACAAGCACCTTGGAGGGCTCGGGAAGACGCAGTTGGTCCTGCCACCCCCCTGCTTTCTTGGTCCTCCTCTTAGGGTAGGAGGGGTTGCAGGAGAGGAGGCAGGTCCAAATTTGATGACGGTGGCCAACATCCCTTCTACCTGCAGAGGCGGGAGGAGGACAGTCTGGTGAGTGGATTCGGGTCCTGGGAGCAGAGCACGGCTGGTCCCTTACCCACACTCCAGCTCAAAAGTCAGCCTCCAATTGTCCCTCATGAAGCTGGCCAAGGCTTTGTCACTCTGCGTGAGAAGCTGGTTGAGTTTCATTGACAGGCATGAGTGGAAAAAAGGGGTTTCTCAAGACAAAGCAGGCAGTTCGGGTGGCAAGGATGCATCACCACCAGCCAGCACGTAAGGCCAGCGCTCGGCTGACTGATTCCTTTAGAGGAGACCTTCCTAAGCCTTTTAATCTTTTTCCGCTGCTGTTTCGTAAGCAGATTGGTACAGGAGATAGATGGGTATGAAGGATGGAGAGGCCTGAACCATCCTACGTTCTTAGGAAAGGTACGTTGATGGTGGAGTTTGTCTTGTGACATAACGGGGACATCCACCCTTGCCTGGTGGACCCGGACACACGCCACCAGCACGCACCGAACCGCTGGCAGGGAAAGAACAGAGCGAGGTGCAAACAACAACAGCTTCAGACTTTGTTCCATTTGTGTTCTCGGGGCCCCTTGGCCCTCATTAATAAATAACAAAATATACAAATTAAGAAACAAGGAAACCCAAGAGGCAGAGGGACATAAATAGGGGAAACAGGGAAAGCCACTTTGCTCAACAAAGTCGGGCTGGACCCCCCAGCTCAGGGCGGTCCCCTCCTCACTGCAGCTTGAAGATGCCGAAGTAGGTGCTGCCCTGGTTGTAATTCACTCGTGTTGAGTCTGTCACGTTGACAAAGACCATGTCACCTTCCCGGAGCTTGAAGACACCTCCCTCCCGGATGGACTGGAGCTTGCAGGAGGACGTGGAGGTGTTGTGTGTGTCTAGTCCTCTCAGCAAGAGCCGGTCCTCTTCCATGGGGAGATGCAAATAAATATAGAGGGTGAAGGGTGCCAAAGTTGCTTCCTTGGTGCAGAAGCTGACTTGGGAGTAGATGTAGTAGAGCCCTGCTTCCTTCACCTTCAGTTTCCCCTGCTGGTAGGATATCAAGTTGTTGCTCATGGGGCCATACATTGTCGTCTTCCACTCGAGCACTGTAGGGGGAAAGCATTGCAGATGAGCTGGGAGAAAGACACCCTGTTTGACATGCTGGTTTGGGGGGGGCACCCCACAGACATTTAGGATCACAGCCTGTGTCTGCTGCAGGGCGCAGGGGTGGCTCCTGCCCACTCCAGGACACCATCCCCAGCCCAGGGTAGCAGCGTCCCCTTCTCTGAGGCCAGGACAAGATTAACTCATGTTTCTGGTCACTGGCCTTGACACCCGTGAATCGATTGTGTGAGCAGAGGAGCATTTTGCTTCCTCCATCCAACCAAGTGGAAACGCTGAGGGTGGAGGGTTGCACACAGTTGCCACTACCAACCAAACACCCTCGTGTCTGCCCCTGTGGGGCTGCTATCTCCATGGCTTTCAGTGCCACTGCCAAAACACCAAACTGCAGCTCCCATCTTCAGAGGCTCCCATCCCCGGGGACACGGTTTCTCCCATCTGGGTGCTGCCACTTTGCAAAGGCAGAGCAGAAATAAGTGTCCCACAGTTCTGGTCCCCGGCAGGGTGCAGAGCTGGAAGGGTTTTACATGGCAAACGCTGCCTCCACTGCCCATGGAGACCTGCCATGGCTTTCGGGACACCGCCAATCAGTGTCACCAGGGCAGCCCATGAGCGTGCCCTCCCGCTGGAGTCAGTACAGATGGGCCAATACAGAGACCAGGAAGCCGTGGCCCCTTTTTTTGACCTTCACGAGGGAATTTGGGCCTTCCCCAGCCCGCAGAGACACCAGTGAGAGCAGCAAGGGAGAGCAGCCTGGCTCCACGGGGAACCACGGGCTCAACAGACCCAGCCCGGAGCCCCAGCCCCTGCAGAGGGGCGGCGCGGGAGGTCCTGGGGATGCACGGAGCCCGTGGGCCATGCTCCTATATCCCATGGGGAAGATTCCAACATGCCCAATGCCAAGCTCCAGGCAGCAACTGCAACCTGCTCTATATATAACGAGTGCTCGAGCTGGGAGGTTTGAAATGCAGCGAGTTCCTCACGTCTTTGATCTTATCTAAGTAAGCTTTCCACAGGTAGACTGAGCTCTGGGTGAAGTGCTGCGTCAGAGACGCAAAGAGCACTTGCTGATTACTGACAGTTGCTCCAGAATTAAAGCAGAGGTGCCCAGACTGTGAAATCCATGGCACAGACTGACTTGCAAGCTCGTACTCGGACAATCCTTGCTCTCGCAGCATGTCCCTTCGCTAAGGTTGTGCTGGGGAAGGGAGATGAGAGAGCAACCGTGGTTTGTGCCAAGGGATGCACAAAGGCGTCATGGACTCATGTGCATCCCTCAAACCTAACGTGGCCACGGCTGTTGGCTGAATCAGTCAGGAGCTATCTAGGTTGTGACTATGAAGTCACGTATTGCTACCAGGACCACTGCAGGTGAGAAGATGCTTAGATCAGCAGACACAACATGCCAGCAGAGCCCTCCTGCAGCAAGACATGGCCAGGAGAGCAAAAGCATTTTTGCTGTGTTTTGAGTCCAGATTTTACTTCAAGACAAAGAGAAATGGCTTTCCACTCACAGAAAACACTGCAAAGGTTAATCCACTGCAGTGCATTTCCAGGAAGGCTGTATAGGATATATATACTTCTAGGAAGGCATATATAAGGCTACAGAGGACAGCTGGCATGGGATGCACGAGCCCCGTGTGGCAGAGCTGCAGGTGGGGATGTGACCACTGGGAATTTGGCTCCAGCTTTCATGCTGGAGTTATCCTGTCCCTGCCCTTACAGAGCCATGGGGCAGTAATCATGGACCAGGGAATGGACACTGCCATGTCCCACTGGCTCCCTAGGCAAGGCAGTGCCAAGCGGGTCTGTCTTACCTGAGACTCTCTTGCTGCAGTTCTGACCCGCCAGATGGACTGCAACCGGCTGCCTCTTCTCCACTGCAATTCAGGAAGGTCGGGGTTATTGGTGCCTTGGCACCCACTGTCCCCCCGGGGCAGCCCAGCTCCTCTTCAGGGACTGCTGCACCTTGATTTCTCTACGGGCCAAATGCAGTTCAGAGACACAGTCTCCAAAGTCCACCCCATCAGCTTGGAGTGAGGCAGGATCTGGCCTCTGATCAGCAAAGACACTTGGCTGCCTTCAAGGTGGAGCCACTGGGGGATAAGGCCCACGGAGGAGACTGGGCTCCCATGGAAGAGGATGGGTCCACTCCTTACCTGCCACAGGGGTCTCGTTCTTGCGCATCAAATGGGGATGCTCGTGCTCATGACCTGCAAGGCAACAAGGCCACAGATTTAATTGTGGACCCATTTTCATTGATGTAGGCACCTTGGCACCCAGAGCCGCCTGCCCTGGTGACACAGCCATGCCCAGTGCCCCCCTGCTGCCAGCCCCATGCCACATACCCCCATGGGGATGCCCCCCACCCCAGCCCCATCTCCTGCCTCTGTGCCATGCTGGCCAGGGTGAAGGAAAGCCCTTCCCAGGCCGAGCTACTCCTCCTGCCCCTTCCAAGCCACGGGTGCACTGGCAGCACCAGGGAGCTCACCTCTCTGCATTTCGAATTTGGGCTGCTCCTTGCTGGCTCCTCTGTCCTGTAACAACAGCAAAAATACACGGTTGGGTTTTAAGGATGTACAAATCGATGGTTTTGAAAGCTTCTGTATAAAGGATGCTCTGGTCACTTCTTGGTTGTGGCCCCAACAGCCCTGCCAGCTCTGGGCAGATGGTACCCAAAACCACAGAGCCTCTTCAGTACCAACCCCAGCATCACATACGGCCATGGGCTGTCTGGCTGTTGGCAGGAGGGAGGTCGTAGAGTTTATGATCTTTGCACAAAAATCAATCATCCCATCAATTAAAATGATGGGATGGGAACAGCCTGTTTGAGAAACAAACGAAAAGCCACCTCCTGTTCATTTAAAGCCATGCTGGAGAGCCATGCTGGAGAGCAAGCTGAGCACATCCCTGCCCCTACAAGAGGAGGTTTTAGGACTGCTGAGCAGGGCCCATCTCGGACAGTTTTCTGTTGTCAGATGGGTACTGACACAGACCTGAGGCATTAGATGTCGTTGGGCACTGACACCCAAATACGAGGAGCCTCTGCACTAGCTGGGGGTGCCATCCCCGGACTCGTGGAGTGGCATTTGTACATCCTCCTCCTCCTCCTCACTGACTGATGGGATCTGTGCTGCCCAAGCCTTGTACCCTCATGGACACCTGGGCGAAGTAGGCGGCCACAAGCATCCCCACAGCCACCCAACACAGGATGGGAGCAAGGTGCCAGACAACAGGAAAAGAACCTTCATCAGATCCGGATGAGAGCGCAGAACGAGGGTGGCTGCAGCTCCATCCCTCCGATCACAAGCACTGAGCATCGCTCCGCAGGGATCCCACCTGCAGCTCGGTGTGCTCTGACCAAGACCGTTTTGAGGCAAAAATGGATGAGATTGTTCAATTCTATCAATGAAGTATAAAAATATAGTGTAAAACTAATCCAGTGTAAAAAGGGGCATGTGCTGTGCAGCCCCAAGGTAAAGGGCACCCATGGGGTGAAGCTGGCTGTGTGCCCGGAGTGCTCCTCCGTCTTCAGTGGGGTCTTTATACACCCAACAGCAGCGTACCTTGCACTGGAGGTCCTGGAAGGCCTTTAAAATCTTTTCACAGTCCAATAACGTTGACTTCTGGCCTTCTGGTGTCTGACATTTCTGTACCTTCCTCAGGAAGATGTAATCTTCATTCAGGTTCAACACCTCCTCCATCTGCCAGCGGGGGAGAGAAGGGAGGGTGAATGGAGCGTTAGTGGCTGGCAGTGGAGCCACAGATATTCCTGCCGGGGACAAATCACAGCCTGGAAAGCTCAGGATCAGTTGTTCAGCATCGGGATGAGCTGGGCAGACACACTGTGGGTACCAAGCACTCCCATCAGCAACCCGGCACGGCATCCGCACCCGCATCCACCAGCAATTGCTGACCCCGGTTGGTAACACTGGATCAGAGGAGGATTACTCAGGATCCCTTCCTGTTTTCTATCACCTTGATCATGAATTTCAATTTCCCACTGTGCTTTTTCCAAAAGGCAAGTGGCAAATATCCACCCGCCCGCATTGACAGGCACAGAAATCTCAGCGAGTGGCTCGGTCCATCCCTGCTCGGATCCAGCTGGGATGCTCACTCAGCTCCACACTACCCTGCCCATGCAGGGTGGCTTTTCCTTGTTTTAGATTGACTTAAAGAGCAGCCAGGAGACCAAAAGAACTTGTGGGTTGGGGCTGAATTCTGCCAAGAGCTTCAGATTAAAAAGATCTGAGAGCCACAGATAGATGATGATGGATAGATAGATAGATAGATAGATAGATAAACAAACTGCTTTTTGAAATCACACTTGTATTTTTGCAATGACCCAACATGAAGTTAAAGGAAAGGAGAAGTGCAGACAGACATGAGGACACAGAGCCTGGCACAGTGCTTTGAGGGTCAGGTTTGAAGCCCTGCCCACAAGGTCTGAAGGCAGCTGAAATCTTCTAGCCACCCGTAACGGTGCCTCAGCTGCCTCTGGGGACCCTCTACTCATCCCTTCACCCCAGGCTGCAAACTCCATGCAGCAAAGTCTCCTTCCACCCCTTGCTTTTCAGCCCCTCTAGCTCAGGGTTGCTCCCCACCCTTGAAGATCAGAAGTCACCCACTTAAATGTCAACTGAAGTTGAGACTGCGCCTTTAAAAATCACTGATGATGATCTTATCATTGTATCTGGTAAAAAGAACTCGTTCTGGGTTTTAGACACGTTCCGTTTCTTTAGCTGGTTTCTGGTTTGGAGGAAAGTAGCTTCAGATTGGTGATTTTAAGCATCGTGCAGTCATGGCAATATCAAAACCAGCTTTATAGCTTTTAATTCTTTGGTAAATATTGTCCCAAGTATGAGACAGGATCACCAATAAAGCGTCTCTTCAATAAAAGACCAAGCACTAAGATCCACTCTTCTCTTCCCTAAACACAAGGACAGCATCTGAAGTGAGATGTTGGTCAAATTCACACACACAAACACTAAAAAAAGTTGTATTTTGGGACCCCCCCATCCACGTGATAAGTGTCACTAGAAAAACCACCAATGAACCTAAAATAGCCACTTGTGTGTTTAAGCCACACTCTTCTCTCCCCGGACTGGCCGTGGTTTGCTATTAACGGCTCTTCTTCATCGACCTACTCCTGTTAACGAAGGGAACAGATCTCTTCCTCACATACATCTTAGTGGCAAATTAGAGCAGGAAAGAGAACATGGGTGTAATAAATGCCATTCCTGCATCCATCCAGTGGCTGGTATCATCTTCTACCATGTTCATCCCTTTGGTGAGCCCATCTCAGCACAGCTGAAGGCAAATCGCATTAGCAACCCAGCAGAGACAACCTCATTTCTGCACTTACCTTATCCATCTTCATGTGAAGATACAAACAGAAGAGCACGGTCCCGATTGTCTGTGCTACAATAAATACAGCGAGGAAGCCCATGAGCATCTTCATGGTGCCGGACAAGGTGCTGCTCATGGGTCGGGGTGTCGCAGGGCCGTAGGGTTCGTTCATCCTCCACACACGTTGCTGGGGCTGGTTCAAATGAGCTGCTTGCAAGTAGCATGAGAACTGTTGGGTGAGCACCCGCTGCTCAAGGGATACAGGTTGCAGCAACCTACACTTCCTGGAAAAACCTCTTCGTAGTGGGTAGGTTTGTTCACTACCTTCTCCCACAACAAAAAGAAGGTTGTTTAGACTTTCTTCTCTGCTGCACTTCCATGCTTTTTTCCTACTGTTCTACCAGAAGCAGAGAGAGGTTCTTATTCCATATATTCATATTTGCCCTCAAAACAGCCCAGACTATGCCCCAGTGGGGTTTTTTTCCTGCTGTGGATGAAAGTTTCATGACAAATTGTCTTCAGAGAAATGAAGACCAGGAATATGAGGACAGAGCTGCTGAACAGGGGCGAGGAAGCACCAGAAAAGTAGCTGTTTACCAAAAGGGAAAGAAAGCTTTTTTACCCTCTGTTTCCCTTATGGGAAGGGTGATTTTGCTGTGAATACACTTGGCTGAGTTGTGCTGGTATCTGGCCTTCCTTTGTGCTCCCCATGGGTGAAGTCTCTCCTTGGGTAGGAGAAAGGACCACCTCCACGGTCACTGCAAGTCTAGCGTGGGCACAGCTTTCATGCTCCTCAACAGACAGTGGGACTTTGGGTCTTGGTGCTTGGCATCACTTTGGAGAGATGAGTTTTAAACAGCTTTAGTGATACCGTGGTGAGGTGCTTACCCTGCACCCAAGGGCTCAAGCCATTTCAGACCCTATCCCCGCTTACCCATGTTACTTCTATCTATATATCTGGGCATGAAAAGGGCTGTTGGGATGCTGGCCGCTGACCTCCCAGCATCACCTACATGCAACTTTGGGCAGCCTATGTCCTCTCCATGTCCCCACACCCCTCCAGCCAGCAGCAGGGAGGCAAGATCCTGCCCCCAAGCTCTTCAGGCATCTGATGCTTGTGCAGCCATGCGCCACCAGTAATGCAGTGTAAATGCAGAGGGGTCTCCCTGCTTGCAGCAGGGGACAGACCTCCTTTTCTCCATGTAAAGAGGATCAATGTGGGTTCCTGCTGGGGTGCGGAGGAGCAGGGCTGCCCTGTGAGGAGGGCTGCTTGGAAGACAGCCACCAAGTCATCATGTCAAGTTGTTTTGAATGTCATATGCTAAAGGCAATGCTCTTATCAGATGTGCATGCAGCAAATAAAGGGCTGGATCCTGCTCAAAGCAGGGCACTGGTCCCCAGCACCCCCAGGAGAGGAGAGGAGGGTGCACCGCACCTTGTCGGGGCTGCTCAGAGCATTGCAGGATGGGGTCCAGCAGTCGCTTTTGCTACCTACCCTCTCTCTCGCATCCTGTCCTGTGTGGTTAGGGCGCTTGTGAGCTGCAAATGCAAGAGCTGGTAACGAAGCACAAACATCTCTGCAGCCGAGTCAGAGTCTGCCCTTGGCAGGTCACCATGCTCCTAAATATAGCACCCAAATCACAAGCGTGGGATGGCACCAGGGTCTTCGTGGGAAGCGACGGCCAGAGCACAGCGCCAGGGCTGAGGCCCTGGATGGTGTTTTGGAGCCTCACCATGCCAGGACTGTCGCCCCTCTGCAATGAGGGGAGCTTTGGGATGGGGCTGCCAGTGCCAGGGAAGCTCCCAGTGTCAGTTTTGCCTTCTAGAGGACAAAAGTGGCCCTGGGGTCCCAGCTCCTGTGTGCCCCTGTCTCAAGGGATGCCCACATGCCCTCCCCATCCAAAGGTCGCCTTGCTGCCCATCAGGGCTTCCCAGCCACCACAGCAGCATCCTCCTAGCAGCAACGAGGTGACCCAAACCGTGCTGGGGATGCAGGGTGTTGGGCTGCAAAAGGGGGTCCCCTTGGCATCGCTGGGCTTTAGACCTGGTCCCTTGGGCTTGCGGCCCTGCTGTGCATGGGATCACTGGGGCACTGCCAAGCCACTGCTGTCAATCCTTTTTGTCTCAAAATGGGCATTGTCTTTGGAAGGACATCGGCAAAACCTGCCCCAGTGTCCTCGCAGGAGTCTGATCCGACACCAAGCTCCTACACACTGCCCCTGCCATGCTGGGCTTGCCACGTGCAAAAAGCCATTCCATGGCTCTCCAAAGACTCCCCCTGTGCATCAGTCCCACGGTGCTCCCCAGCATTGCCAGGGCTCTTCCTCTGAAGGTGACTCCTGCATTTGGGGCAAGTCTTTACATGAGAAACAAAGGGACACGGGAAGCCATCGCTTCACGCATCCCCTCTGAAAACCATGTCTGGATCACCACCTCCCACCGCTCCACTGAAATGAGAAGAACTTGCGGGTAACGCTGGAAACCCCAAACGTGCTGCTGGCCCCATCGCATGCACCTTGCTGGGGAGGAGGGAGCTGGCGGCAGCCCCCCAGGAGGGTGCTGGGTTGGGTGAGGAGGATGGGGACAGGCTCAGGGTTTGGGTACCTGGTACGAAGCCATGTCTGGATCACCACCTCCCACCGCTCCACTGAAATGAGAAGAACTTGCGGGTAACGCTGGAAACCCCAAACGTGCTGCTGGCCCCATCGCATGCACCTTGCTGGGGAGGAGGGAGCTGGCGGCAGCCCCCCAGGAGGGTGCTGGGTTGGGTGAGGAGGATGGGGACAGGCTCAGGGTTTGGGTACCTGGTACGAAGCATCATCGGGCCGGCTTGTGCGGCGCACCAGGAAACTGAGAGTCGCTACTCACTGTCACCCTGACGGGAGAGAGCGGGTGGGAAGTGTGACAGCAGGGACCCTGGCAGGGGCTGTCAGCGGGGAGGGCAGCCGGGAGCTCCCCTGCAGGAGCCATTGCTCCACATCGGCAATCCAGCCCTGGCTGGCATGGAGCAAGCCCTCTGAGCCGCATCCGCCACCCCGCACCACCAGGTTTTCCACATGGATGGTAAGGAGAGGGGGAAAGACTCAGAATCCTCAAAACCCATGTTAGCCCATGCCAGGGCCAGGTAGCGTCATGGGTGCATGTCCTTGACCACTTGGCTGCTGTAAGAACATGGGGGAATGGCTTTAACCTGCCAGAGGGGAGATTGAGACGAGATCTTAGGCAGAAGCTCTTCCCTGTGTGTTGTAATTCCAGGGAAGTTACTGCTTCGAACCAGTGAGCTATTACTTCGTCTCCCTCTGCCATCCCTCCTAATGGAAAATGTTGAAATCATTTCTCTCTAAGGTCTGAAAAGCCATATAACAATACATAGAACTCCCTGATCTCTTCATCAGGGACTGGAGCGATAGGACACAGGGTAATTGGGTTCAAACTGAAACAGGGGAGATTTAGATTGTATATAAGGAAGAAGCTCTTC